CTATGTCCCCTGGGCACACACCTGTGCACACACCTGGGCACACACCTGTGTCCTCTGTACACACACCTGTGCACACACCTGGGCACACACCTGTGTCCCCTGGGCACACACCTGGGCACACGCCTGTGACCACCCTGCACACACCTGGGCACACACCTGTGGCCACACCTGTGTCATCTGTGCACACACCTGGGTGCACACCTGTGGGCACACCTGTGCTGTGTCCTCTGTGCCCACACCTGTGCTCACACCTGGGCACACACCTGTGCTCACACCTGTGCCATGTCCCTGTGGCAGCCCAAAGGCGCCGACCGGAAGCAGAAGACGGATCGGGAGAAGATGGAGAAGCGAACGGCCCACGAGAAGGAGAAATATCAACCCTCCTACGAGACCACCATCCTGACCGAGGTGAGCTCACCTGGCACACCTGTACCCACCTGTGCTCACCTGACACACCTGGCACACCTGTGCTCCCCTATGCTCACCTGGCACACCTGGCACACCTGTGCTCACCTGTGCTCACCTGGCACACCTGTGCTCCCCTGTGCTCACCTGTCCCTCACCTGTCCCCCCTGTGCTCACCTGTGCTCCCCTGTGCTCCCCTGTTCTCACCTGTGCTCACCTGTGCTCCCCTGTGCTCACCTGGCACACCTGTACCCACCTGTGCTCCCCTGGCACACCTGTGCTCACCTGTCCCTCCCCTGTGCCCTCAGTGCTCCCCCTGGCCGGATGTCCCTCACCTGTGCTCACCTGTCCCTCACCTGTCCCTCCCCTGTGCTCACCTGTCCCCACCTTTGCTCCCCTGTGCTCAACTGTGCTCACCTGTACCCACCTGTGCTCACCTGGCACACCTGGCACACCTGTGCTCACCTGGCACTCCTGTGCCCTCAGTGCTCCCCCCAGCCGGATGTCCCTCACCTGTACCCACCTGTCCCTCACCTGTGCTCACCTGTCCCTCCCCTGTGCCCTCAGTGCTCCCCCCAGCCGGATGTCCCTCACCTGTACCCACCTGTCCCTCACCTGTGCTCACCTGTCCCTCCCCTGTGCCCTCAGTGCTCCCCCTGGCCGGATGTCCCTCACCTGTCCCTCACCTATCCCTCACCTGTCCCTCACCTGTGCTCACCTGTCCCCCGTGTGCCCCCAGTGCTCCCCCTGGCCGGACGTTCCGTACGTTCCCAGTGCTCCGTCCCCGGGATTCAACAACTCCCACGGCACCTTCAGCCTGGGGGACGGGTGAGACAAACTGGGAACACTGGGGGGGACTGGTGGGACTGGGGGGGGACTGGGATGGACTGGGAGTGCTGGGATGGACTGGGAACACCGGGATGGACTGGGAACACTGGGATGGACTGGGAACACCGGGATGGACTGGGATGGACTGAGAACACTGGGATGGACTGGGAACACCGGGATGGACTGGGAACACTGGGATGGACTGGGAACACCGGGATGGACTGGGAACACTGG